TGTCGATCCACACCTTTACTGAGATAGTCTACACCCACTGTGAGCGACATACAATTCAGTCTTGCAGGTATTGCAGACGGCTACTGTACAATGGGTAGCCTCTTTCATACTGCTTAATCTACAAACGCCAGCAACCAACAGTTTTGCCCCCTGCCTTATTTAGAGACCCTACGGTCCGAAGGAAAACGAAGTCCAGAACAAAATCCCAGAGCTTCAAATACCGCGGTTTTTAGTATAAAGTGTTTATCGACGTCTCCTAGTTGGAAATGGTCATTAAACGTTCCCAATTTCTGCTTGTAAAGCTTATTAAATACGAATATGCAAAGTCGTATAGAATCGTCTAAGTAGTTAGTTTTGTGTGAAATGAATACTTACTCGGTAGGTCCTCCAATGCGTTGAGAGCTATGGATGAGATTCGTATTTGCAGAATTGATTTCTATGAAATAAGAAAAACATTGGCGACTAAAATCCGAATTTTAATGAATAAATATGGGAAGCTGCATAATCTGCATATCTGCAACTGTAACTTTATAAATGGCATCGGGTTTCCTGATCAGTTCATACATGTTAAGAGAGAAATTGTGAATTTTTTGTTATCGCAGGTGTTCCGATATTGATCGCACCTAAATTGGGCTTGGCAGCTGGAATGACGATACCCTTCGAGGGTCAATGCAGCCTGTGTCCCATTCTTAATTCCCCCAGAGGAAATGCATATGCTCTCACGATTATTTTCAGTGTGAAGCGTTAAGCAGACTTTCGAGAACAATCTGCAGCTCGTCGCATTCGAACTCTCGAAATAATTACTAAGGACTGTGACAAGGGGAAGTTTCCTTCAATATACACAAGATGGTATGAAGTTGATTACAAGTACAACCGTAATCTAACTTCTTAGACTACAGACAGCCTCTCTGCATGTGGTCTTCAATCTACTTTTATTCCGGGAAACAGCCCTGGCCTAAATCCAACCTAAAATCTTTTTGCAATTGTCAAAAGACTTTGGTATAAAGCCTTTCCATGGATGAAAAATGGATTATATTCCCAGTACGTATTGTCCCAGCGATCGAATCATCTCCTCAATACCTACATTGCACAAACAACTATCGGTAACTTTGCAACGTCCATGTCCGATAAAATTACCGCTATTTTAAATGTTAGTGGACGTCACACGAACTATTAAATTTAGTATTCGTACAAATGCTGTATTAACTTGACGTTTTTTGAGATCCCCTGCCTAAAAACATTTATATTTTACATTGGATCAGTGACTTCTCTTATTGCGATCACCTGAGTTTGCAAATTTTTGCGAAAATTAAATATTTTTATGCTAGAAAATAGTAATATGTTAACCAAGCTATGTCTCCTTTTTTCTTATAGTCCTTAAATTACTGCCATAATAGTTTGGGGGTACGCCGCGTGTGCTGAATTCGCGCAGCACGACATTTATTGCTTTATAAACGACACTCCATGAGATGAGCAATATACTGTACTTCGACAGTTAATGCCACCTCTGTCCCATTCTAAATTCTCCATGAGAGAATTTATGTGCCCTTACGATTATTTTCAGTAACATGCAGTAGACTTCTGGTTAGAAGCATGTTGGATTGAATTATGAACTCAGATTTCATTGGTGAAAGCTAGCGAAATATTACAGAAATGCATATATTGTGTAGGCCACAGCCAGTGAGCAGCAATACTAGACTCCATATGCAAGTGCCTGAAAGGGCTATAGTTCGAAACCCAAATGGCAGTAGGAGAAGCATATCGCAAAACCTGATCGGTGACCATTACGCCGACAATATGACAAAACCGTGAGCAGGTGAATCTGACACAACCTGTTGTCTGATTTGTTGTGTATTTGAAGCACGATGTTCCGGGAGAGAACTTGAAGATGGTTATCGCTGTTAAATTTAATGGCACCATAAATTTCGTGAGAACTCCTCAGTTGCAACCACGCTTTGCATTAAGGTCCACAAATGAGAAAAATACGAAATTGAATCTGTACAGAAAGATCATAGGTCCTAGTCAGGTACAGAAGGAAGGTTAAAACAAAATGGGAGGAGGAAACAGGAAATTGAGTTGTGAGGAAGATTGGGGCAGGGGAATGCGCAAATCTGCGGGCCTGTGGACCTCTGCAAACAGTTGGAGCATGTGCTTAACCTTGCTTTACCTTGGTAACCACAGGCCCCCAGATTTGCACATTCCGCTGGCCCAATCTTCCTCACAACTCAATTCCCTGTTTTCCCCCTCCCATTTTGTTTGAATTTTCCTTCTGTATCTGACTAGGACCTATGACCTTTCTGTACAAATTCAATTTCGTATTTTTTCTCATTCATGGACCTTAATGCAATGAGTGGTTGTAACTGAGGAGCCCTCACGAAATTTATGGTGCCATTAAATTTTACAGCGATAACCATCTTCATGTTGAGGATTTCTTCGGTTTGACTTCACAATTAGGACGGAAGTATGTTTGATGCTGACATAATTTCAGTGGTGCTATTTTCTGTGTCAAAATTTTCAATTCTTATGTTCCGTCCTGAAGTCATTTTGCAGTTTGCGGCCAATAAATTTGGTCTCTCTAAAATTTCCTGGTTTCTTGGTGGGAGGTGTGCTTCACCAGCACATGTCAGCCTTCTTCTTGGGGAGGATTGTACAGTCAGGTGCTCTATTTTTATAATGAAGCCGAAACTCAAGACAAGGCAAAATGTCAAAGAACATCCTTAACATCCACTGCCAGACGCGAAAAAACATTAGCGGCAAGAGCAAGTGTAAAAAGAGTACAGATTTCAGACAATTCAATCTCCATTTCTGAAAAGCATATTTATCAGTGGTAGGTTAGAGTACCTTAACACCTTAACCCCTGCTTTAAGGAATCCCTGCGCACGCATTTCCAGGGTACACAACTGCATGAAACCAACCGCATTCTACTTGAAAAGTTTAAGTGTTTTCCTAATGAACCCTTGTGGGAAATTCGCCTCAGAGCTCCTCTTTCGCTGATTTGGCGGGACAAGCAGCAGCCTGAGCTAGAGTGACTGATTAGGCCTGACGAGAATTTGTTTTCAAAATGATAAGCTATGGTCATAGTACTTGTGCTTGCAGCGTGCTTAGACATCGTAAGGACTTACAGGCTAAGCAAAAGTTACTGAAAACTTCTGAATCTTCGACAAAAGCCAGTTCCCCTTGCCATCGCTAGCGAGACGATATCAGAAGAGATCGTGGACTACAACACAAGAGTCATACCAGCACCGTGGATGCATAACTTGCGATGCAGCACCCTAAGACAGATTGTTGTTTAAGTAGCCATGCCAAACAATCGCTCGCAATGAAGTAAATCAACGAAAACATTAGAAATAACAGTCGGTAAACTAAACCGTAGGGAGTAGAAAACCGGCCCAGAAAACTTGAAGTGTGAGGTGGATTTATGAAAGGGGCGTGATGGCCACACGGGTGTTCATCCTGTTCAAAGAAACTTGGCTTGTTTAGTTAAGATGGTTGTGAAGCAGGTGGGTACAAAACAACTTCCGGATAGTACTTAATAGATTTTTAGGAATCACGGATAAAACAAATGCCTGCTTTAGGACATCTTTTAGTTAAACAGACACAGCGATAAGAAGTCAACTCTCCAAAGCGAGTATAGATAAAAACGAATTTACGGTTATCCGGATTTAGATGTCGGAAGGTAAGTAACCTAGTTCCTAACCTCACCTGTGACCGAAAACGTAATTTATGTGCAGGAGAAAGGTGGCATCATCCAAATTAAATAATAATCCTTGGCACCAGTTTCCCCAGCTGGGCCGAATGGCGCAATATTTAGAGATACAAGACGGCAAGTGGACTTGGTTGACGAAACAAGGTTTTTATTCATTTTCACTCCCAAGCACTTACCGGGTTGCACCTCCGAATTGATCATATAGGCGATTACTGCAAACATAACGAGCTTCTGGGGCCATAGTGGATCGCTTGCGTCTGCATTCATCCCTGCCTCTTTCCTCTGCTTCCAGACTGATGTCTGCGAACCAATTTTCCACCAAAAGGCGAGTAACAGGAAATGGGTAACCGCATGGTTACCGAGAAAACGAAAACAGCTCAGAGGCGATCCTTCAGCCTTCGCGAATTTGTCCAGGTTATTGAAGAAAAGAAGAAGGCCTTCGGGCAGAGCCTGAACTGGGACGGAAAGCAGATCAACGATGCAGTCGATCAGAGTATGCTTGAAGGCCACTGCGAAAGAGCCACCATTCGAGTTGTCGCCTTCCGTTGGTTCGCAGGGCTTGGAGTCAATTTCCACCGGCTCTAAGAGACTTGCAGTCAGTGCAAAGGAGCAACTACATGGCAATCGTCCCTCCGGAAAGACTCTTAACCAAACCGCGGGAGTCTGAGGGAGGGGTAGATTCTTCACTAGGGACTCTATGCCTTGGAACTGCGAGAGTAGCTCAGTTGCGCGTTCGGATGAGAGAGAATCGTCAAAGGCGAGGCGCTGCAAAACGATACTATGGAAGCGGCCGTAAATTCTGGTAAACAAAAAAAAGGAATACGTCCAGCGTGAAAAGTAGGTAGACTGACATGATAGAATCCCAACCAAGAGCATTCGTCACGTTGGGGCAGAATTCCTAAGTTGGTGACAGAAGTGTGTTAAGCAAGAATGATAACAAATTATTTCACAAAATTAAGACGATGAATAAACCAAAAAGCTCTAGACGGTTATGCAAATCTAAAGGTAGTTCGTCATGTACCAACAAGCAAGTCAATATCTAAGAGCCAAATAGCAAAGGCGGGGAATCCAAAACGTTTATCGGAAAATCATATTGCTTTCGTATAGACTGGAAGGCAGGCATCCCAAGAAATGTAATTTCTCAAGTCTGACGACGACCTGAGGATCCAGTGTCGAACATTTACGAAACAAAGTTTCCTAATTTTCCCAAATGACGCCTTTCCTTTAAATCATATTTCTTATTAACCACAATAAAGATCGCATGATGAGGTAAATATTTTTGCTAAAATATCTGATGGCATTGATTAAACATCTATAGCACAACAAAAATGCTTGATCTATTGTCATGGCCAAAACTTCGATAACATCCTGTTCGCATTTCACTGACGAGTTTTTCAGGCATTAGAGTTATACCAAAGGGCGTAACAGTAAAAATAAGTATCAGTTCTTTTAAAAAATATTAAGTCGCATTCTGTCTGGTCAAGCACCTCCCATTCGAAATACTAGTACTTCCTTTAAAGAAAAGAGACTAGCGTATGTGCACGCATGCACGCCGCTACTTTGCACAAGGAATAGTGAACAGTTTGTGCCTCTTTTACCCCTATCAGCGACTATCTCGGATGATGAGTTCGAGTGGGAATCCAAAACTAAAAGCCAGTAAACGTCTTGTTCCAGCGATTGCCTATTCTCCTTCTGAATTAGCCAAAACAGTGAAACGTGGGTCGCCGACATTCTACAGCCGTAGGACACAGCTGTGAGAGTTTCGACCTATCGCGTGTCTCCAGCGTTCCCTTGTGTCTTTCGGTTGATAAGTTGAAAAGTCAGTTTGCTTAGCTCCTCAAACATAAGTGTGCTAGCTTGGAATAAATCCTCCAGAAAGCTGATGGACATATTTTACCCGAACTACATCGGATTCAGCGGCATAATCGCGTAATATTAAACGTTTGTCAAGTGACAGTAAGAAATTGTATCCGACAAGGATAAGTTGACAGCTCTTCTCCTGTCACCAGTGAATCGTAATCCTCCCTTTTTATGAAAGTCTCACTCTTCAGAATGAACAGTGAGTCTGAACGTGTGGCAATACACTCCTTTTGAGGCCTGATTGTTCCTGCCTACTGTCATTGGTAACTGTCATTCAACTTGCCCGGACTGTGCGACCGAAAGCCGAAGAGAAGTTGACGAACAGGCTAACACCTAGATAGGACGATTAAAACTTTCACATGGTGACAGACTGACTTGGAGTTAGGAAACATTGTAGTCATGAGAAACATGTCTGTGCCTACCGTCTTCAAAACAAATCATTTGTGCTCTTTGTGAGCTCTGATCATCGTGTCGTGTGTGTGTGTGTGTTTTGGTAACTAGCAATTCAAGTTTGACATTACTCAAATGAACTTACTCGTCTAAGAAGTCTCCGAGAAAATCCAAAAGTGCAGAAAGCCAGGCGGGGAAGTTTGGCAGTAGCGGAAACTGCGTTTGGACGTCGAGGCATTCGACAGAGGATAGACTGGCAAGAGAGGGGGAGAGAGATAAAAGGGAAGCACATCCCGCAGAAGCATAAGACTTTGCATAAAACGAAAGCTGAAAGGACAGGTGTGCGTCTGTTTACCTTTGCAGCAGCGGAAGTAGAAGGGCAGAATAGTAGTCATCATGTTCGGGACAGGTGGCGAAGATTCGATAGAATGCCTTGTAGATGGAAGCCACGTCAGTGAAGAAAGCACAGTTCTCCGGAAAGCAAAACGTCATCCAGGAGGGTGGAGCGAGTAAAATCCGGGACAGACGAGCATTCTGAGCGAAGATTAACTACACAACGGGACCGATATTTTTTAGAGTGCAGGCGGAAGTGGAGTGCGCTGTCTGAAACGTACGCTAAGTCAAATGGACAAGTTTATTTACAAGTCCATACTGAAAATTCCCGCCGATCATTTGAGATGAAGTTCCATTAATTCAAAATATAATATTTTTTGAGCCACACAGATTGACGTTTATTATTCAGCCTGTTTATGATAACAAATATGATAAGACTCACATTCAAAGCCGTGATAGAATCAAAGTGCAGTCCTGCTGCGAAATTACTGAGGGCGACCCGAGTCCTACACGCCGAAAGCTCCCTAGGTGAGACAAAATGTTTTTCAAGGCATCTTTTGCCGGTGTAAACCAAAGATAAAGGCTTAAAATGGCAGCAGCAGTGTAAGCTTACAGACTCTAGAAATTCTGAGACTCGATGGCATAGGAATATAACAACTGCTCTATTAGTAGTCCTCAGGCTCTGCAATTCATTTGGCGTCTGGTCAAATTTAAACAGACGGTACCTTGGTTGGTTTCTCGTTAGCACGACAAGTTTGTTGTCCATAAATGTCAAATAAAAACGACAACCATGCGAATAAAAATGCCAATAAAAACTGCTGTACTCTATGTAAGACGTATTGCATGCTTGTCATTGGGGATGAAACAAAATTCCATAGCGTAAGGGCATCCCTTATTAGAGGAAGAGGCATGCTCGCTTCGGTGCGCTTGGGGTTATATGTAAACACCTCGCAGGTGACAAATTCATACATAGTTTTTAGAGAAATTGCGTAGAATATTCATTTTTAGACTTCTTTGGTAGCGAATAACATCTTTTTAAAATTTTATACCTGACGAAAGAATAGCCTTCTCTTTTAAAAACGTTCCTAGCTATGAGATGTCCTAAGATCATGAAATTTTAATTCCTCATAATGCAGATGAATGTGTCATTTTTACGAAACGTAGTTCAAAAAACTTGTTTGCATCTGTAACGACCGGTGTGGTTTAAAATTGTTTGACAAGTTGGAAATTTTTTTCAAATTGAAAGATTGCCTTGCCTCGAGTATAAATTTGAAGAAGACATACTCTTCTACCAAGAGTCCAACAATAAGTATTTTAATTGGTAGAGTTTTTTAATGCATGTTCTCCAGGAAATATCTTTGAATTTAAAAGAACATAGAAGTTCAATGCGAAATATGCCTACTACATAAGTAGTCATTTTTAACTGAGCGCAGCTTTTCTAGGCGGCCCGAAGAAGGCTCGCTTGAAAGCTGGCATCCTGATGTGACTGAAATAGATTTTATTTGGGCTGCAAGAATATCACCATCACAACCCAAATTAAGTAATCTGTTCAAATCAAAAACACACCAGAATTTTAGGGGGTATTTCGTAAGATAGGAAGTCTACTGCAATCTGCCAAATTTGATGACCGAAATTAAAATTATCAGTTCGGGAAACATCGAACGCCGTGCATCCCCAAACAGTGAAATAACACATTCCTTAAAAAAGTCAGCTTCTCATGCCATCAACGTTTGTAACTTATTCCACTTTGGATAAAGTTTACGAATTTTTGCGGAGATCGACAATAGCATCTACTGGAGTCATTTCCATTATTATTAAATGCTCTAGACTGCATCTGCGCATTAGTGCATGTATCACCAGGAGAAGGAATAACACGCACGACACGACACGGAGCTAGGAACTGCCGCTATTCCAGAGAGTTGGCACTAATTGCCAGGTAGATAAGGAATATTTTTAAGGTCATCGTTAGGTTTAGGTCTCCATACTACCTAACTAACTAACTGGCATGCAAGAGTCCTAACTGCCATTACAGAACGCAGAATGCCATCGCAAACTGAGGCAACAGGCATCTGCCAATATTCTATCTTGCTAAGCCTTAAGACAGTCTAACCATTACTACTGACAGATAGGCGACTAAAAATTCTAATGCACTTACGAATCTGAAGGAGATGACTGTTGAGGGAATAACTTAGGATCCAGCACCTTCAGCCAATTGCAGTGTTCAAAGTTTTCCTCAAATCCGTCTGAAACGCCATTAGCGTAGAAACCATCAGTCATATGTATTCTAAAATCCATCACGAAAAAAAATTTAAGAAGGCTGAAAAATATCCTTGTATCGAACGAAATTATTTTGCTTTTGTAAAAATAAAACCCTTCTATCCCATGCATCGATCTCTGACTAGTAACGGTTTGCAAATCGTAGCACTGCAAACTTTTAATTGCTAATATTGTGTCTACTTTAAAACTTTAAGTAGATAAGATGCGGAACTTACGCAGCAATGTCATCGAATGGCGCCGTAAGACCGACTAAACACTGGACCAGCATAAGGCCGGAAGAATGAAGATTTTGGAGATCGACCGAAAGTAGGTCACAACCCGTAACATCGTTCGTCGTTTCGGAAGAACGAAGTAGACAGATATAGGCTGTTTCGAGGGTGAGCCAAATGTCACGCCTTAAGAAAGAGAAGAATGTGGGAACAAAAAGAGCGTTAGTGATTCTAGACAAAAAAGGTGAGAATGCAGATGCACAGAGCCCATTCCCAAACTACCTTACTTTTGTTCATTTTTGCTAGTTTCTATACTGTCCTATTTTTTGTTATAAAAGTGTGCATGCACCACTACTTATTTCAGACCATAATTAGAGAAACATATTTTGCATGTCCATCATCAAACCTGCACAAATAACTTGCAAGTATATGATTGAATGAAAGAATGAAAAAATGAGACTTAATAATTTATTAGGCGTGGTTAATGCTCAAAGACATCTACGGTGTAGTCGAACGGGCCTAAAAAATAAAAATATGTTAGCCAAGCCGTACCCTGAATAGTAGTGCGCCTTTCGAATCCAATCCTAGTAGACTAGTATAACGCCCTAAACACAGCTAGACCTCTCGAATTTGTAAGTTCAGCTTTCCGCCGAAAAGTGCTATAATAAAATGTTAACAAAGCCCGTCAAAGCCACGTCATTCGTACCCCCAATTTTTCAGGTACATTTTAAACTTCTTACCTAGAGTCGTTTGAGTACATAACTTCTCACTTGTACCTAGATATAAACTCGAAACTGGAAGCCTTGGTTCTGTATTGAGCGCAAGGGGGAAATCATTGGTCTTGGATAAGCCAAAAAGAATGTAGAAACGATCTGTGCATGAAGGCCGTCTCCACAATTAACAGCAATGGGAACTTAGGATTTTTAGGATAGTAATCTTTACATTAATTGGGCATATTTCCTTTATTTATGCATAATCTACGATACCGATACAAACGGAAATGCGAGTCCCAGGAAGTAAGTGAGAAGAAGTAGGCGCGATCGTTAGGCCAAGTACTGTGTTTGCTTGACGATCCGGATTCATAGTCGAATGCATCATCAGCATAGGGATTGCATTCTAGAAATACTGCAACTCCCTATGGCGAAGTACCCGTAGCTGATGATGAGTTCACGCGTGAATCCGAAACATCAGACGAATTGAGTCCTTGCGCCAACGATGGAGTCAACATCTTTTCAATAATCTACTTCAGCTCAAGGTACAAAGGCAAAAGAAGGAGACACAGTCAGTTACCGCAGGCCTTCCAGTTCTTCAACATTGTGCCAGGCTGTGTTGGCAAATCGCTGGACAAGAAATAGAAGACACTGTGAAGTTATTTTGGCA